CATTCCCTCTCCCCCCCTTTTCCTACATTTTATGGCCTCTCCAGGGCCTTTCAAGTGGTGCGTGCTGTGCACGAATAAAATCCTGCTCACCGACTTTCACGACCATTGCCTCTTTTGCCTCAGAGAGCAACATCAAACACACACTTGCCCCGAGTGTAAAAAACTTACTAAACCCGTTCTTAAACTGCGACTACAAAGACTTTGTTCATACCTCTGGGGGAAATCCCTTAATCCGACTCCCATGGATTCAGTGACATCTCCACGTCTGGAACATCAAGAAACCCCTTGGCTGGTTTCAAGCCGTACGACTCCTTCCTCTCAGAAGGACCATTTGAAGTCGGCTTTGAAATCGAACTCGATGTCCACGTTGAAAACTCCGAGCTGTCCTGATGACTCTTCTAAGAAAAAGAAAGATACCCCTAAAAAGACAAAAAAAACCAACCAACCCCCCCCCCCAAAATCGACCAATACTGACCCACCTCAATTGGTATTACCATCACCAATCCTTGAGGAGTCTTCTAGAGACACCCCTGGCTCTGGCTCTCATAGAGACGATCAGACTTTGACATTGGCTCAGGCTGCTTCTTCTGTTGCCAGCCTTTCACCGAGTATTGGCCCATCTCTGGCTGTTATTCATTCTATCATTCAATGAGTGGTCATTGGACGACAGAGTCTTTGATCTCCTGTGCCACCAGTGGGGTGCCCCATCCATCGATGTCTTCATCTCCGAGACCAATGCCAAGTGTCACTGATATTGCTCCTGTGCCGGTTCCAGCAAGAACTCACTCAGAGATGCCTTTATGATAGATTGGAACAACAAATTCATCTATCTCTTCCCTCTGATTCCAGTCATACAACGCACCATCTTTTGGCTTTGTCAGTTTCGCTCAAATGCCATACTTCTCGCCCTGTGGTGGCCACGACAACCATTGTTCACCCACCTGAGGTCGATGTCGACAAACGTCGTGTCTCTCCTCGATACCAAGTCTTCTCACCGAAGACAACGGGAAAGTTTACCATCCAGACATAGACTCTCTGAACCTGACAGTGTGGAGAATACTCCCGCCATAAGAGACATACAGTGGTGCCTCGCTTAGCGATGTTAATCCGTGCAGCAAAAATCACTGCTAAGCAATTTAATCACTAAGCGATATTAAAAAGCTCATAGAAACACATTAAAATGCCTTTAATGTGTTCCTATAGGCTTAAAAACTAACCTTAAGCAAAAATCCTCCATAGGGACGGCCATTTTCAGTGCCTCTAAAGTGAGGCAGCACAGCGGGCGACCATTTTGTTTACCCGGTGGCCATTTTTGAACCGCCGATCAGATGGCCGAAAATGGGGGCTTTGCGACGATCGCTTCCCTGTGATCATCGCAAAGCGAATTTTCCCCATAGGGACCATCGCTAAGCGATCACAAAAGCAATTGCAAAAACATCGTCGCAAAGCGATTTCTTCGTTAAACGGAGCAATCGCTATGCGAGGCACCACTGTACTTGATCGAGCTCGAAAACCTTTGACCCGACTTCTATATCAGAATAAATGGAAGGCTTTCCTATCCTTTGCCAACTCCCACAACTTACTTGCAATCCCTTTTTCTTTGAAGACTATACTTACCTTTTTCGTTCATCTTGGACAATCTCATTCTACCCTGAAAGTTTATATCTCTGCTATTGTGGTCCACCAGCTGCTTCATTCCAATTCCATTAACCTTTTTTCCCACCCAACTTTGAAAAAAATTCCTCAAGAGACTCCAGTATCCGCCCACCACGTCAACATCCTCTTCCACAGTGGTCCTTGCAATTTGTCCTCGATGCACTTACTTGACCACCCTTTGAACCACTGGCTAATGCCAATTTAAAATTACTTTCTCTGAAGACATCGTTCCTCGTGGCAATAACATTTGCTAAACGTGCTTGCGAACTTGTTGACCTTAGATCTGACCCACCTTTCCTCCAGTTTCCCCCAGATAAAGTCACCCGCTATCTTGATGTATCGTTTTTACCTAAAGTTGTCTCTGAATTTCATCTTCATCAACCGTTGATATACCTACTCTATTCCCTTCTCCTTCTACACCACTCGAGCACATGCTCCACATGCTTGACATAAGACACTCTTTGGCCTTCTACATTGATAGGACTAAATCATTTAGAAAATCACCAGAACTTTTTTCTATGTTTCCATCGCCCTCATAAAGGTGCTCCAGCTTCACCTCAAACTATCTCGATGGATTATTCAAACTACCTCACTGGCATATAAATTGACAGGCAGAACACTGCCTGAATATTTGAAGGCCCATTCTTCTAGAGCACTATCCACCTCTGCTGCATTTCACCGTAGAGTTGAGCTTCCTCTCATCTGCTGTGCAGCTCCATGGTCTACTCCATCGACCTTTGTGAAACATTACCATCTTGATATCCGGGCGAAAAACGATGCTGCTTTTGGCGGAGCTGTTTTGACTTATCTTCTACGGTGACGTCCCATCATCCGGTAAGTGAGCTTGCCAGTCACCCAATTGTGTGCATTCACAGAGATCACGAAGAAGAGAGGTTACCTACCTGTAACCATGGTTCTTCTAGTGGTCCTTTGTGAATCCACACATTCCCAACCATCCTCTCCTCTGTCCATCACATTGTCTTCTTTAAATAGATCTTTGACAGCGGCGGACTCTTTCAGGAACTGAGGGGACTTTGGGTGGTCGGAGCATGCGCTCCATGGGGGAGCGTCCCACTAATCAATTATCTTTATGCTTGAGAAACTTCCGAGAGGTCCTGAGCAGGTGCAGAACAACCCAATTTTATGGATTCACAGAGGACCATTAGAAGAACCATGGTTACAGGTAGGTAACCTCTCTTTTTTAAAAAAAAAAATTATTTATTTGACTTCTACCTGTCCATCTAGACCAAAGGTCTACTTTGGGCGGCATTACAAATTTTTAAAAACAGTGAAACCAATAAACGTATAGTATGAAAGCAAGATGACAAAAATGTCAAAATTTAATGATGAATTTTATCTAAGATGGCATTATTTCATATTTCATATACACATTTTTAGCAGTATCTATCAAAGCTTTTGCTCAGATTATAGGGGCAAAAACATGTTGATGCAAAGAACTATGTAGAAAATCTTTGCAGTGGCCAGAATCTTATTGCTGCATTACACCTGGGTAAGAGAAATCATGTAAGTCTTGGCAGCTAGTTGCTGCTCATTAAGAGTCCTACTTACATACAGTGTATACATAGTTGTGATTTTCCTTGCACAAGTGTAAATCAGTAATAGGACTCTGGCTGTTCTCAACCTGTTAAATAGAAGTAAATACATACTGCCTTCTGTTATATATTGAAGGTTCCATCATCTGTCAGTCACAACTATCTTTTTGATGTTTTTCTCTTCCTTTCCCCCCATTTATTTTCTTTTCAAAACAGAGATTCTTCCTATATATGTGCCAATATTTAAATATATGTGCCAGTATTTAATAGATGAGAATAGTTATATATAATAGTTACATGGCCATTCTCACACCAGGATTGCTGCCTACCCCCACACAATGGCTCGAAGCATCTTCTCTGTTTTCCAGTAGCTGTATCTGCAAGTACCGCAGGAGTCAGGATTAGACAATCTCAAGAAACCAAGTTTCCTTTAGAAAACCATTTCAAACATTTGATTTAGGTATAGATATAAGTGAAAACACACTAGAATCATGATGCTTCTGTCTGTGCTCAGGATTAACATTTAGGGAGCTGGAAGTCACCGGAATACATTATTGAAATGTTATTCCTCAAAGTAACTAAAAAACCAAGTATGGGCAGTGAATTACCAGGAGCTGGTATCAGAAACTTGGAGAACATTTGGAGTTGGAATTTTCGAACATAATGCATTAGCATCTGTGGGCCCTGAGTGCTTACTTACCTTTGTAGGCATGCAGACCAATTAAAGGCTGTGCTTTTTCCCTTTAGTGTCACAGATGGTTTGGGACCATCTTATCTGAAGGTCCCACCTACACCGGGTGGACAATCACAATGAGTTTCATTGTATTCAGTGTGTTCATTGACCTCCATTTTCTTTTTCCTTTTTCCATCTCTTCTTTTTTTTCAGGCCATTTTTGCATACCCAAGATATGTACTTCGTATTTGTTCAGTTGCTATCCAGTGGTTCCGCTTGGTTTGCCATAATCATCATCGTTGTTACTTGTTTGTTTCCTGATGTTGTGAAAAAAGTACTATACAGACACCTGAAACCCACAAATACAGAAAAGGCTCAGGTAACCCATTCTTACATGTGGTTTTTCTAACATTAAACACCAAGGCTTTGTTACGAAACATTAAATATGCTTAAATTTCTCTTATCTTGGTGCTGAAACATTATTTGCAGTGCTTAGTTAAATTATTATTAATAATTATGTGCTGTCAAGTCAGTTCTGGATTATGGGCACCCTTTATAGGGTTTACTAGGTATAGAAGTGGTTTATCAGTCTCTTCTTTGGTGGGGTGTATGGTGCTATGCGTGCTCTGGTCCATGGGGTCACGAAGAGTCGGACACGGACACGACTAAACGACAACGATGGTGTTATGCAGCTTGCCCAAGGCTGCCTTTTCTCTCAAGAAAGTCGAACTCCCATCTCTGGATCTGCAGCCAGATACCTAATTCACTAAACTATTAAACAGCAACTTAGTTAAATTACCACGATTCTTTTCTGTTTAACATAGAAATCTCTTTTCCGTGGCTAAGTTTTCAATTATAAATACTATCACTGTATACGACAATATTTTTCCTATATTGAAATGTAAGGGACTATATTAATATTGCCAAGGGTAGAAGTTTCAGTATCTTAATTAAACCAGGGGGAGAATCAGCAGCAGCTCACATCTTCAGCCCTAGGCATACCAATATGTTTGCTTTACTAGTAGTGATAACCAGCTCTTCACACTTCTGTCTTACAGTGATCTGTTGATGTGCATGGTTACTGCAGCATCAAAAGATGCTGGGAACTGAGGTGGTTGTATGGTCTCATGGCTGCCAACTTCCTTGTACATGCAGCATTCTGGACTTGGGGTCCTGAAATAGCACCAGTCTCATAATCCCTTCTTGTCATCTGACGTTAATTAGAAAGGAAGTGCTTGGAAACTTTTGGGTAACCCAATAACAGGAACTTAAGCATTTATAGATCCCCTTTGTCTCCGTCTAGACCTTTGATCTAGAAAATATGTTTTGAGGAAGGAGAGGACAACTCAAAAAAAAAAATCCACTGTCTGTGTCTTCACCTTTAAGGGGTGATTTATTATTATATTACCAGGTTTTTCTCTCTCATTCTTTGTCTGAAAAAAAGAATGTTATACTGTATATCGGTCTCTTGTGTTGTGGCCACTGGTCTTTAGTTCGTAATGACCTTTGGTCCATGAGTTCTAGCAGTAGGGTGAGACCGGTCGTTGCTGCAGTTTGTAGCGTCAGAGCATCCTGTAAACCAAGGGTGGGGAACATGTACCCCTTCAAATATGAGACTGCAGTTCCCACTACCCTATGCCAGCATAGCCAACAGTGGGGGTTGTTGTCGTTCTACACCTGGAGACACATACATTCCCAATCCTGGCTGTAAATGTTTACGTTGGACCTTCCTTCTGTACTGGAGCCAAGATTGAATCAGTCATGTTAAAAATGACCAACATGCGTGGACCTCTTCTTACTGGCATATGCATACTTACAGGGCCTGTACAAGTAATACTAACACTGTTTCTCACATACTTTAAGCACTCAAGGAGGTACTTTTCCCTTCAACAGACAGCAATATAGCAAATACAGATTCATTTCTTCCTCCTTTTCAGGCAAGCAAGGCTGGAGTGAGAAGATGAAATGGCTGCCTGTTACTCTTTAATAGTGAATAGTTCTCTCTTGGAGGGAACGATATACGAGAACCCTTTCCAGTTGCCAACAGAGAGTTCTTACATCTGTTTGCTCTTTTCCAGCTGCCTCGGTTTGATCATTCCCAACAGTTTTGGGCTGCTTCATTAGGAAATAACTTCTCCTGCAGCAGTGGTTTCTTCCTAGAGGTCCCAGTTTACATTCGTCATAAATTCTGCTCCTAGTGGAGGCAGACAAATAGCTCTATGAAAGGTATCCTTATCATCCTATTAGAACTAGAGTTACGATGGAATCATAAAAATGCTTTGGTTCAGACAACCTGCTAGCTTTTCCCCATTCTTGTTTTTAGTGGAAACCTTTGATAAACATACTGGTCTTTGTTTCACATTCAGAAAGCTGCAAAATATCAAGCTGTGCCAGGGTCTATTTAGAATAGGTGGCTAATCCTCCTCTCTTTCTTACAACTCATTGAAATTAACATCTTTTTGAAGGCAGGAGGATTTTTCTGGCACAAAATAAAACTTTGTACTGTCAGCAACCTCTGTATTGCTGTGAGTGGCAGGCTAATAAATTGAAGGAACCCTCGTTGAGCATGTGGATGGCCAGTCATTCTCTAGCTTGTCTTGAGTGCCAGAATGAATAGTTGTAACATTTGCAACCAGAAGATAAACCTGTTTGTTCTAACTGATTATCTTTTGTGTGGTTCTTTCAGATACTTATTCAGAGATAAAGGCATTTTATTTCTTCACCCACTCAGTGAAAGGCATCCTAGTAACCCAGTCTTGGTGCTATTGAGAAAGCAGGAACAAATATTGCCACAAAAGTTCTCTTCCAAATATTTCTTAAATAAGATTGCCAACTCAGCACTTAACATTTACACATCACTAATAATTATCTTTCAAGACCTTAATTACCCTGCAGCAACTTGTGCTACATTTTGCTGACCAGTTCAATAAATAAAAGGGACGTGGGTTAAACCGCAGAAGCCTCTGTGCTGCAAGGTCGGAAGCCCAGCAGTCGTAAGATCAAATCCACATGACGGAGTGAGCTCCCGTCGCTTGTCCCAGCTCCTGCCAACCTAGCCGTTCGAAAGCATGTAAAAATGTGAGTTGATAAATAGGTACCACCACAGTGGGAAAGTCACAGTGTTCTGTGTCTAGTCGCACTGGCCACGTGACCACAGACACAGTTTATGGACAAACGCTGGCTCTGCAGCTTGGAGACGGGGATGAACACCGCCCCCTAAAGTCAGACACAACTGGACTAAATGTCAAGGAGAATCTTTACCTTACAATAAATAAAAATAGATACGTGAAGTATGGAATGTCTTGTTTAATCTGCACTTTTAAATGTCAGACCTGTGTGCTTGTTGGACAAATACATCCATACTGAAATCAGTTCCTTCCTTACTGTAATGGATCATGCCTTCCTAAAGCCCAGCCCTAATCTAAAATATAAATAGTAGTTTCCTAGTACAATACAATGAAGGCAGAATCCATTTCCTGCGTTTGAATTGCCTTCATACCCATTTTCCATCTACAACTTCCAAATACAGTGTCTTAAGGTGGCTAGCAGTTGCTCACTTAAGACAAAGCACTTCTTCCCCCCCCCCAACAAAATTGCCATATTATGTGTCCTAGTCATAATCAAAGTGGCTCATTCCACTTTTATTTTATCTTTCTTTTTGAAGTGTATAAGTTACTTTTCTACTGGAAAGGAGATAAGTAAGAAAAAATGCCAGCTTTGGTCACAACTTGTAGAGCTTAGTTCTCACCAAAGTGACAAACCTATGTCTGGATTTACACCACTTTTGAAAAAAGATAGATATATCTTTGCCTACAGAACTGGTGTGTTGAAGAGAATGTTAATCTAGAATTGTTCACTTTGGAATCTGGTCTAAATGCAATACTCTGTTTATCAGTGGTTTGAGAACCAATTTGCCATCTGACATGGTACTTCCGAGATACAGGTTCGCCATCTTCTTGATGACTACATCTGCAAGCAGATTACAAGTTTTTCTGCTGATGTTCCTGCGGTTAAATGTGTTAGCTAAATTCCCTTTTGGGAAAACCTGTTCTATTAATTGTCCGATTAAGTTTTAAGAAAACTCTTAGTTCAGGATTAGCTCCTAGTTCAGCTTTCTCGTTGAACTGCATCTGATGAAAAGCTAGGATTGAACTTGTAAAGGAAGTCTTGTGGAAAAACTGGTGCTGCAAAGTCTAGTTGAGGATGAGAAAGCTTTGAGATCAACGTAACTCCGCATCTCTGTCAAATGTTAGTTATGTTTAAATTTACTGTTTACAAATATGCAGTGTTGAATAGATAGTGTGCTGTTTAAGATGGTCTGCTTTTTTACTCAGGTAAGCATGTAATACAGTTCTCATTGGAACCATTGCATCTGACATGTGGTGTTTAGAGCTCTTCTGGTAGACTTCCTTTCCCTCCACACTGTTTAATGTGAGCTAAACAAGAGAGGAGAACATTTCTACTAGTGACAGTGAAGGCTTTTTAAAATCACTTTCACAAAATCACTTTTTAAAATCATCTCTCACAAGAGGTGAGATGGGTTTTTTTAGGGAGGGAAATTACTGAATATAACGTTTTAAACAGTTTCTGCCTCATTTGTTCCAGGTCTGTCAGAATTACACCACTGCATACTTGCTTGAGAGTAAGAAAGGAAGTGCATGTTACGTAACACTTACTTTATTCCAAAGAACCAGATGAAAATCGCTACCTAGCTATATGAAAGTACAGTAATATTAACATGGCTGATGTAGACATGCACTCATAACTGCCAGTGTGTCTAATTGTAGAGTCATGACAAGAACGGCTAGAAGAATGCATTCTTCTGGCTTTTCTGTTTTCAGATGTTTAATGTTGGTCATCCATAACAGATACCACTATCTGAGGAAATGTAAAAGTAGTAGTAATTCAGTTAACCTTACATGCTGTGTCCTCCAAACCCAGGCTTCTACAAAGGCCGGTCAATATATCCATGCACATGGTCAGTGTAAGTGCAGTGTAACAGAACAAGCACTAATTCATACATAGATCAGAGAAGTGCTTGACAATCTAGTTTATGTGCTCCATTTCCTCTTAATGAAAAGTTAATGTGTATATACGTATAAGCCACTTTAAGTATGTTCTCAAGAGTGGGTATGTTCCTGAAAACATGCTCTTGTCCTGTTTGTCTGTCAAGTATATATAAGCCACTTTAAGTATGTTCTCAAGGGTGGGTATGTCCTGCAAACATGCTCTTGTCCTGTTTGTCTGTCAATGTATGTTCTGAATTCTAACTACAAGTAAAGCCACAAAGCCAGTCTGGCTTCACGTGATGGCTGTGGAACGTTTTGCTGTTGGCTCCTGTATTGTGGCTTGACTTTGGTTCATATGGGAAGAAATGAC